TCAACCAACCACACACGCTGGGTGTGTGGTGTGGCAAGAAGGGTATGTAGGCTCCAATTCCTTCCCTCAAGCCCTTCAGGTGTTGGGGGAGAAGGGCAAATGGCACAAGACCAGCTGAAACAACAGGAGACAGGGATCCTCAGAAAGCAGTCAACGTGATGGGGTGGCACCTTAGCACTGCAGGAGGCGCAAAGCAAAGAGCGCCCGGCCCTGAGGTCCCTGAGAAGGGTGATGCAGCTTCCAGGACCTAAGGAACAGATCCTATCACCTGGAAAAGGCCATTAGGCTGATCATCGAGTTCTCTGCATCGTCACAGTGGACAGGACATGAGGAGGCAGCCACACGGAAGGAGGGCACTGAAGGAGATGATCTAAAGTCCTGCTTCGTCTAAACAATGCTGTTCTGCAAAATTCTTGGCAAGAAGGTTAGTATGAGCACTGAGCTGCCCCATCGGTGCCTAGATATTTAACCTTGGGCAAATTACTTAAACCTCTCTGTGGCACAGTTTTAACACCTGTGAAAGACATAAGCAAACCTATACCTCATAGAGTCATTATGAGGATTAATGGAAATTACCCACATAAAGCACCTGCTTGATAATAAGAGCCAAATATAATTAACACCAACGTGGTGCTTACTATGTGTCAGGCACAGTTCTTAGAGTTTTACATATACTACTCATTTATTCTGTACAACCACTGTGGGTACCATTAACCCCGTTTTACAGAGAAAACAAGCAGAGAAAAGTTAAATAACTTGCCTTAAGTTTGTAGCTAGTAAACTGCAGCAATGGTGCTATTATTATTATGAGAGTACTTCAAAAAGTTTATGGAAAATGAAATTAAAAGATGAGAATCTTTCCATGAACTTTTTGAAGAACCGTCGTATTATTACTATTAGTATTGAATGTCACTTACTTCCAGTTATCTGAATCATGTTTAAAACAGGAGCAGATATTTGCCAGGAATTTTCTTTTGCCCTACTTCTAAATGCTGCAAACAGTTCTGAATGCATCCTGAAGCAGCTAAAATAAAACTCTCTGCTTCCTTAATTCCTTTTCCATGTAAATAGACAGACAATTGATAAAGCTTTCAGGTGAACTTTGCTCATCTAGTTCTCGCCCTACCTGAGGAAGAGGATGGCTCTGCAGCGGTCAGGGCAAAGGACACCTGGGAGGGGCGTTGGGGGGGTGCTGGTGGGGCAGGGGATGGGACTTAGGGGACTATACTCCTCTCCACTCTCCAACAGGGTTTCCTGGCTGCTCCTTGGGCTGCCCTCAAAAAAAAAAAAAAAGAAAAGAAAAGAAAAAATGACAGCACTAATGCACCCTTCCAGGGACTGTGCAGCTGTGTCCTCATGGTACAGCCCCATACATGGAGCTGAGCCCAGGCTTGGGACCACTAGGACATCCAGAGATGAAGGCAAGGGGTAAGACCGGGCCAGCTCAGGCACCTTGGCTTTATTAACTCACGACGCCTGCTGGTGGAGGGTTGTCACACTTTGGCCTGACTCCTGTGACTTCAGTACTCTCTGGGGTGATCATTAACCTAAAAACTACTTTGACAACAGGTGCCTGTGGGTAGGTATTTGATTTTACTTTAAGGAAAACAATGCTGGTAGACTAAAATCTTCAAAGACATTCTTATGTCAGACTTTTTTTCTCCACCAGTAATAGCTAAACTACACTCACTCTACCCTTTCCAAAAAAAAAAAAAACCTAACAAAAGCCAAACACGCAAGTTTATGAGTAATTACATAGTCTATTTTTCAGCTCATTTGATTTAATGCACATGAAATGGCCTTTAATTGCATCTCTTTCAGGCAAGTAATTCTAATAAGAGTATTGACAGAATCACGGCAAGTCATCACATTAGTGTGTTGGTGGAAGAGGAATGGGAAAAAAAATCAGTAAATATGAATGCTTTAAAAACAAATTACGACCTAGGTTTTTGATAAGAAGCTGTGATATAATTCATATTACACCCTCTAAAATAAAAACTAAATTGATAATCCCTCTTTCACAGGTAAGTGACTTTCTAGTTTTCCAGGGCCTCCCCTGTGCACTGCAAGAGGGAAGTCTAACACACATATTCTAATACTTAAGCATTTTCCATTTTCTGCATTGTGTATGCCTTAAAAGTGAGAGAATTAAAAGAAAAAAACCCAAATGCAAACATTATCTCAGCCTGCTATATTCTACTTGACCATAAAATCATTTTTTTCAGTCTGCTCATACACCATTTCTTTATTCAATAAAACAAATTTTGCAAATCACAAAATGTAAACGCAATAAAAGCTGAACTAGAATTGTCCCTGGTTTTAATGACCATGTGGACAAGCTTCGAGTGTGGATGCCTTTTTACAATACTCCCCTGAACTATCTAAGAAGAAAGGAAATTTCAATCAATATACTAACTAAAAAGTTACATGGCATTCAAGGAAAAATTTAATTAAAGGGATAGCCAACGCTTTTAACAGTACAAAATTTGGGTACCTTCAGTAGATTTGCATTTAAGATTCAAAGCCCTTCAAAAATCAGATTAGGTGTAATCAACATTTCTAGAAGATAAACACATATCACCATCATCACTGTCAATAACCAAAGTATGAACTTATTGTACCACTTCTGTTTCTCAAAATGAACTTCATGCTGTGGGAATGTCTTGAGCTTAATACATTCAAATTCAAGAAATAGCTAAAGAAAAACAATATATTTAATCAGTGAGAAGTGAAATGCTTCTTTACACTGACTACATAGCAACACAGTTGTGAAAAGACACAGTGATATTATCATTTTTAAAAAGCAAGTAAAAGGGCTGGCCCGTGGCTCACTTGGGAGAGTGTGGTGCTGATAACACCAAGGCCAAGGGTTCGGATCCCTATAGAGGGATGGCCGGTTAGCTCATTTTGGAGAGTGTGGTGCTGACAACAGCAAGTCAAGGGTTAAGATCCCCATAGAGGTCATATTCTAAAAAAATAAAAATAAAAAGCAGATAAAACAGCAGATAGTAGTGTATACATTTCAGGGTTCTGTTATGCAACTATGAACAGGTCCCACATCAAGATGAAAGTTAAAAGTAAATGCACACTACACTTTAAAAGCCAGTATCACATATATAAAACTTTCTTCCAATCATAAAAATCTGTACTTTCTATGGAATAGGTACTACGACCCTTTAGAACAGTTACCTTACCTGCAACTGGCTTAAAAAGCTAGAGGCCAGCAGTGACATTATCCAGCACCTCTCCCACCAGCCTTTTCAATACAAACCTTGACTCTGAAACAACATACAATATACCTTCCCAAACTTTAGAGGTACGAAAAAAAAAGAAAAAAATCACGCAGGGTATTTTTTTTTTTTTTTGTAATGAGCAAAACACTTACTTCCTAGAGTTTAAGCAACTTTTGTACCTAAGGAAACTATCATCTGCTTGCTTTTAAATGGTTTATTCCAAGAACAGGTAATCTGTCAAAAAGTTATAGCTAGTGAAGTGTAATTTTTCTTTCTTTCTTTTTGATAAAATATGCTTGTGGTCTTCCTCTATGCAGAAGTCACCGAATTCCTAATGTGAAGATCTATTACTCTGACAGCCTGTGTCAGAATTAAACCTGTCTGCCTACTCCAAACTTTCCTAGCTTATCCCTAACCATCTTTAAGGTTGCCAAAATGTAACACAAGCTAATGAAATATTAAAATATAATTCCATATAAAGCCTTGGTCAATAAGCTTTGTGAATATCGCGCCTAACAACTAAAACTTGAACCTCATCACACTGAAATGACAATCTCACGCTGCATTCAAAACCCGGAACTGCTTTATCCATTCGTAGTTCGCACTGACAAAAAGGAAAAGAACAGAAAAAAAAAAAAAAAATCCTGAAGTCATGAAACCCTCAAATAACGAGTGAACTCGCACGCGGACAGCAACAGCTCTGCAGCTCCGCCGGGGATTAACAGTGGAAGTGAGACCTTTATTACCGGCGCCCCCAGAGAAGCAGAATCCACTCCCCCGCCCCACACACACATTCTACATTCAACATGTAACAGCCATTCCGCTCCCACCCTTGCATTTCATGCTCGAGTTCTGGTTACCAAAGTACATTTCTGTGCAGGGGGCCTGGCCCAAGCTTTTCTGTTCTCTTTGTCTTGTGATCTGCGGGGCAGCTTCTGCCCTTGGGAAGTGAGTGGCAGAGCTGTGGTTTCCAGACAATTCCCCACGATATTGCAGCGCCGGCTTGCACGCTCCCTTGCTCTCCCCAGCCGGCTCCATATTGCTGGGCAGGTCCTCCAGTCTCGCCCCGAGTTCCAAAAGGCTGGATTTCCAGGCGCTTCCGAGACTCCACTCAGTATGCCTCCAACAACCTGCCTGAGCTTGGCCGGCTCCTAGAGCCTCGTTGGGGCCCCAGCGACCAACCGCCCTAAGGCGCACTTCCCCCACCCCGGAAGAGGAGGGCGGCAAACTTGGAGGGCGGAGGCTAGGGGCGAGCTCCGGGGACCCCCGCCGCCCCTCCCGCCCCGGGGAACGGCCCGGGCAGCGACCCTGGCAGCAGCTGGAGGGCCGTGGGCCAAGGGAGCGCTCCTTCCTGCTAACGCAAAGGCAGCGGCGGGTCAGGGCGCTCTCCTCCGGCGAAGGGCTCCGGAAACCTGCAGCCAGGCGACAGCGGGGACCCTCGAAAGTGTGCGGTGACGGAGGGTGGGGGCAGCCCGAGCTCGCCGGCAACTCCAGGCGCGAATGCGCCCAGCGGTGTGCAGAACCCGCTCGGAAATGGAGCGCAGAGGTGGCCGGGAGCACGCACGTCGTTGGCCGCGAGCGGGGCAATGCCGCCCGGCGCACAGGGGGTGCCAGCGGCGGGGAGGGCCGGCGGCTGGCCGCTTCCCCCGGCTCCGCTCTGCAGAAGGAGAAGCGACTGCTGGTGACAGGAAGAGAGCGGCAGCCGCGCACGTATGCACCGCCTCCCCCTCCCGAGCACACACACCCGGACCCGCCGCCGCTGCCTACCTCCCCCGCCGGCCGGCTTCCTTCCTCTGCGGGGCCC